AGCCTCCAGGGGATAAAATCAGCAATTTATGCAACACTGCTGCTTGTGGGCCAGCAGTTGAACAGCCTTAGACTAGGTCATATGTAAGATTCACTTGATCAGAAAAGCTTGCAAGGTGAGTTTAGTGGGGAGCTGTTGAGCCAACTGATATTGGCAGGGCCTCAAAAATGTGAACTGTGAAATTACGAGGATAACTTTGTATGTTGGTGAATCAGTGATTGTATAAGGGGCAAAAATGTGTAGGGCTAATGGCATCCATGTGTGGGATGTAGGGTCTGGCACATAGTTCTATATCCTTAAGGCTTGGATTGGACAGAAAGATATCTGCTCAGTGGCAGAGGGGATAGGGGCATTACATACCAGTCCTTGCTCCATCAGTAGCTAATATATAGCACGTATCAGGTTAATGAGACAGTTCCTAGAAGCAAATGAGACCTGGGTTTTCATGGGTGGCACTTATACCCATGGGAGAAGGGAAAGTATGACATCTTCACAGACTTAAGTCCCTGCTTGGTACCCTTTGCCTGGGGGACGATGGGATAATTCATAAGTAAGCTGAGCCCCAGGTGAAAGGTCTACTCAAGTTATGGGTTTTATAAAGGAATCCATCCCTAGATTTTATCCTGATTTTAGATGCCAGCCATATAAGAGTGGGGGATGAAAATATAATACTCCTTTTCAGGATTTAAGAAAAAATGTAGTCTGTACTTTAATCCATCCCTGTATCTGTTTTTTACACATCTACTCAAAAAAGCAGGGGCCATCCTGACTTCTGCCAGTCCAGGTAGCTGTTCGAAGCCTGTGTCTTAACTACTCCATGCTCAGGTAAACAATCTTAGTTCTAGATGGTGAAAATATCCAGTCATAGGATTTGTCCTGTGCATTTTTAGTTTCATCTATTCAAAGCCCCGATGTTTCTTGGTGTTTCCTGAGCAGACACTACCAGATGGATTACACCAGCTGGGATTTTTTTTTCTGGTGTGTAGCAGAGTCCACTAGAAGCTGAGTAGAAACCAGACTCACAGGAATTAAATTTCTAGACTGTTTTTTTCCCCACAGAGAGTTGGCTACTTTGTTAACTCATTCAAATTTAATTACTGTTAGTAAGTGGTGGGTATTGGGAACCGGAAAGTTTCTTTTTCTTTTAAGTATCTTAAATATTGACATGTATAAACCTTATTTACTTTGTCGCTGCCAAATCAAATAACTTAAAATCAGTTTTCAAAAGCAAGCGCTCTGCTATTTATAAATTATTCATGGGCTGATTCAAGACCTGTTGAAAACTGTGAGAGTCTTTCTGTTGACTTCAGTGGGTTTTGAATCAAGCTCTCATTTTTCACTTTTGACCTTGTATCAAGAAGATTTTATAATAGTTTGTTGATTTAATAGTTTGTTGATCTATATGCAAGCTGTTATTTATACTTTATCATGCAACTGCTTACATCGTTTAATTCCATTAAGTATTTTCCAGGCAAACTAATATAATTATGCATACAGTAGAATCTAATCATGATTTGCAATTAGTTGTACACCTGATAATTTATCTCTGAATTGTATTATTTTCTTCATCCGCCTGAGTTTAAAGAGAGATTATCAGTAATAGTTTATAAATAAACAATTATCCATAATGTTTTATTATTAATAGATGCCTCTGGTACAGCTGCTATCCTTGGCATGAGTGCATGGCTTCATGCTGTGTCTGACACATCAGTTCTCTACATGGTTGTTTCTAATTTATG